ACTACAAAATCCCAAAGACCTAGCTGAGGATCCACGATTGAAGTCCTTTGCAACAATCCTGGTTCGAACCCTCCCACTGCTCTTATAAGCTGCAACCCACCTTGACTGGATCAAACGAAGGTTCGGAACAGCCTTCTTCATATCGTCCAGTTCTGACTGGGTGATGATGCGGCCAGTCTTGCAATGTTCCAAGTTCCTAACCTCCTCTTGCATACCTTTGAAACCTTGTTCCAAGTCAAGCTCTTGTAAACTCTGGTCATCTATGATACTATCCGGTTTCCAAACCAAGACATCCTGACCTCCAAGACGCATCTTCACTAAATCATGCTCATTGCCTCGATTGAAACAAACAGAGCCAAGAGAACCAGAAAACATTTCAGGAGAGGTTGCAGGAGCAAAAGACGCTGGACCTTCTAGCGTACCCAAACCCGCAACCAACACAGGTTCACCACTACCAACCCAAAACCAGTCAAAATCCATGTTTAATTGAAGCAATTCTTCAGAATCTTCACGGATTTCTCGTTCCAACTGTTCTCGGTCGGTCTCAGCCTTTCTCTTAAACCTTCTGGTGAACTCAACCTGTGTTTCCGGCTGTCGCCGAGCGGACTCAGGTGTCGGTACCACCTCTTCATCATCGACCTCTTGTACTGGTACTGGAACCTGGGGCACTACCACAGGGCTCTCCGGGGAGAGGTCAGGTTCAACACGTCTTTCCTTTCTCTGTTGTCCCTCAAAATCAGAAAACGCTTTCGACATGCCTTAGTATGCCTAATACCAGGTGCTTCCATACCACTCTCACATGCTGGACATCTACGAGTCGGCTCAAGGTGTGATACGTCAGGTGAAGACCTTTCAGAACTCTCAGGACTACCAATGGCTACATCTGCAGTATCTGCTGGTGACGTAGGAGATGGAGTGACAGACACTTGAGACGGCTGATCTGCTGGAGCTTCCTGTGGAGTCACGACAACATTCGATCGTGCCAAAGGCACTGCTGGCGCCAAACGTAACTCACCAGGTTTCTTCTTCACACTGCTGGACTCTGGCAAGACAAGTTTGGGCCGTGAAGGTGCCGGCAAACTCTGACCTTTCAACTTTCGCAACTCTTCAGGAGGTAGCTGACTCAAGTCAGCTGGTGCAATTCCACTGTCATTCGCTATTTGGGGTCTACTACCTACAGTCCCATTGTCAAACTGCGTCAAAACTCCTTGTCCCGAATTCAAATCCCATCTCAAAGGTGAAATAGCCCTGATGTTCCTAGCTACAAAACGCATCAACTCAGCTTTGCCATCCACACGAATGAATCCCTGTACAACCGGACCTCGTTCCAATCCCATGTGAATGAAAGTACACTCAACATTCCTGGTTGAAAGTGGGGAATGCTGACGAATTGAGTCGGGAATCTCTGCAAGAACCTGAGCACCAAACAAAGTACAAACTGGTTTGGATAACTTCCTACCTGAAACCATTTCCAATGGACTTCTGTCTGAACCTCTTCATGTTGAAAAATGATTGTTACACAAAGCCAAATACGTCAAAACATCAACCAAATTCTCAAAACATGACATCCAACCCTTGTGCATTCAAATCAGCTCGCAAAACAGAAAAGGCTTCTTTCAGTTCCCTGACTGTCCTCTCAGCTGCTCCAACTGAACGATGCTGCTGGGGCGCGGCTCGACGAATGGAGAACGTGTAGCGACCAGTGGCATTTCCAAAGATCTCTCCAACTGCTCTCTCACTGTCGGTGTGGACATCAATCAGATAGCCTTCGAAGTCAAGCCAGAATGTTGAAGCCATACAACGATCTGTCTCCTGGCTGCTTCGACATCTTCTCCGACCACCACATAGCCAATACACCTCGACATCATCTCAGTCAACACAAGGATCTTCACAGAACCTGGAAGCTCGTCTGCAACGATCTCACCTGTTGTGTTGAGAAATGCAAGATCAGCCTGAATTGAAACCTCTTTCCTGTCACCTTTGTCTCTTCTGCGCTGAAAGACGGAACGACCTTTGGCACACTCCAAACAATTCGGATTGAATTGGATATGTCCCTGTCTCCGGTGACGTGCAAGTTCACTGTCGTCGCCTCCAGACACAGCTGCGACAGACAAGTCATGAGTATTTCTCACAGTCAAATCAGACCTGTATGCACTACTACTACCAACATCTGGATGCAAACGAACCCAAGGACAATTGGCAAAATAAGCAACATCAAGACAATGCATTCCAAGCTTTTCGTGAAACAAATCAAAACCTTTTGGACCTTGTGTGAACCTCCATCCCGAATCTGCCAATGACGTAATTGACAAAATGTTATGCCGGATGGAACCCACCAAAACATTCAAACGTGCCTTCTTCCAACACCAATCATCACCTGATGGGCCTGACATGTGCATCTGCACTCCAATCTCAGCAGTGCCTGACATATTGACTGAGGATCCATTGGCAGCTCTGTAGCCACCTAACCCCTCACTGTCCTGCAGCACTGACCTGAAGGCTGACAAGTTTGACTCAGCCAAAACACTTGTAGATGCACCAGAGTCAAGGAGCCACCAAGAAGCATCGGTGCTGTCAGCGACCTGTGAAAGCAGAGGCCGCAAAAATCCCAAATAAGGTTCAACCTGTTGCTCAACCGAAACTTCACTGTGGCCATCAAACCAACCAGGTGCACGCACCAAAACAACTTTCCTAGGTACGGACGCACACAAGTCTCGGCTCAGAGCATCATCAAAGCATGCTCCAAAGCTGGAACTATCACCAAGTCCAACTTCATGTTCAGACTTCAAACCAAAAAACCATAGCTCATGAGTACAACTGTCGCAACTTCTTGCCAGTCCACAACTCATGTCAGCCTCCTCAAATTCAGAATCCTTGCCATCAACCGCAAGTTCGTGCTCCATGTTAGCAAGCTCCAGTTCAGCGCCATTGCACCCACCTGTGGCTTCGCAAGTTCACTAGCCAGCCTTCCGTTGCTCAAGTTGCGGGTGACGCAAGAAGATAAAATCTAGATACCCAAAACAAAGGAAGAGAATTAAACGGTCAGACATCACACTACTACAGTCCAAACAGGAAAGCTAAACGCAGCATGCTTTCTTTTGAACGCGTGGCGAAAATTAGTCAACGGACTAAAATACATGTTGTGTACACAGCGGTGGAAGACAACGAAATTAAAATGAAGTGAAAACCAACGGGAGATCACAAACAGTTAAAATTGGGGTTTTGGGCAGCCAGGTTCCAAAAGCACCACAAGAGTGAACCAACGGGAACACCCCCAGAGAAAAGGAGAAGTACAGGGACCCAGCGGGGAAGCGCCAAGAAAAACTGGGAAACAGCATGATGTAACCCAGGAAAAGGAGGCTGACCAGGGGATGGCGGTGGGAAAGGAAAACGAAGTAGAACAGCGGTCTACACTCCACCCCAACTTGACCCAAAATGGCAGCCATAAACCGGATCACCCCAGCAAAACCGAAAACCAGGAAAAGGATGAAACCAAGTTCCAGGTTAAACTAAAACGGGTTTTGCAAAAAACAGAGGCCGGTTTCTTGCTAGTGAACAAAACCGATCAAGCTCGTGTACAGTTCACTAGCCAGCCTTCCGTTGCTCAAGTTGCGGGTGACGCGAGAAGATAAAATCTAGATACCCAAAACAAAGGAAGAGAATTAAACGGTCAGACATCACACTACTACAGTCCAAACAGGAAAGCTAAACGCAGCATGCTTTCTTTTGAACGCGTGGCGAAAATTAGTCAACGGACTAAAATACATGTTGTGTACACAGCGGTGGAAGACAACGAAATTAAAATGAAGTGAAAACCAACGGGAGATCACAAACAGTTAAAATTGGGGTTTTGGGCAGCCAGGTTCCAAAAGCACCACAAGAGTGAACCAACGGGAACACCCCCAGAGAAAAGGAGAAGTACAGGGACCCAGCGGGGAAGCGCCAAGAAAAACTGGGAAACAGCATGATGTAACCCAGGAAAAGGAGGCTGACCAGGGGATGGCGGTGGGAAAGGAAAACGAAGTAGAACAGCGGTCTACACTCCACCCCAACTTGACCCAAAATGGCAGCCATAAACCGGATCACCCCAGCAAAACCGAAAACCAGGAAAAGGATGAAACCAAGTTCCAGGTTAAACTAAAACGGGTTTTGCAAAAAACAGGCCGGTTTCTTGCTAGTGAACAAAACCGATCAAGCTCGTGTACAGTTCACTAGCCAGCCTTCCGTTGCTCAAGTTGCGGGTGACGCGAGAAGATAAAATCTAGATACCCAAAACATAGGAAGAAAATTAAACGGTCAGACATCACACTACTACAGTCCAAACAGGAAAGCTAAACGCAGCATGCTTTCTTTTGAACGCGTGGCGAAAATTAGTCAACGGACTAAAATACATGTTGTGTACACAGCGGTGGAAGACAACGAAATTAAAATGAAGTGAAAACCAACGGGAGATCACAAACAGTTAAAATTGGGGTTTTGGACAGCCAAATAAAATCGAAACATCGACCGAAGGATCAAAACCCCCAAATGCATCTCGATGTTCAACATGTAAATCCGCCACTATTTTGGACTCAGCGTGACAATAACGTGTGTGTGGAATCTTTGCTTGACTGGGTGCATGCTCCGGGATTGAGGAGCACAACCATTTCCAGGGGATGGCAACGTGGAGTTCTGGAGGGCAGCATAGAAGGCTTCGACCACGACTCAATGCATCAGCTTCATCATTCCACATGCCTGGTATATGTTGGATGGCAACTTCAATGTTATGAACGCGCTGGAAACGGAAAAAAGCCGCCAGAACTTGACACATGCCTGCCGATGTAGATAATGCTTTCAAATGTGCAGCTTCGGCTGAAGTATTATCACAGGCAAATGTGACTGCAATGGGACTTCGTCCCCCTCTAAAAGAGTGATGCAAGCAATAAGCCAAAGAAAATTGGCCCAGCAGTTCCCAGGCATTGATATGCTTCTGCATGGAATCTGATATCCAAGGAAAAAACTGTTGAGCTTCGGCATGTTCGTGAACGCAAACCAGGCAACAACCTCCCCATTCACACGAAGGATGCCACCTAATCCGGCTTCTGTCGCAGTAGCACAGGCATCCGCTGATGCTTGAAGAGGCATCGGAGTAGGTGGAATCATATGATGTAAAAAAGGAGTGCCAATGAGGACATCCTTCCACACCTGAAGAGCTTCATGGGTCTCTGGCAACACTTTGCGCTTGCTGGAACCAGGAAGTTGAATGCCTAACCAAATGCGCCGAGATTTAAAATGCAATGACTTGGCATGATCTCGGTCTCGTAGAGTGAAGTTGGCTGCACGCACCACCCGCACTGATTTCCGCAGGGATGGGTGCGCCAAGTTTTTTGAAATGAGTAAATCATCTTGCAAGGCATCCAGGAGGCCTGGCCATTGGTGAGGCGCAATCGAAACCAAAGTAATAGGAACCGTCATCATGGAATGAGACAGTGGTCCGAGTAAAGGTCTCAAAGATTCCCAGAGTGAGGTGAGGACACCCAAAGCAATCGTCCTGTAAGAGATTCCAAGATTTTCAAGTCACAACGAGATACCTTCAGCAAAGAATCGATTTGAGAGAGGATCTTCCCCCGCTTGTCAGAGGTAATGGAGACAACCCACCTGCGGACATTGATGTTCCAGCCTATCCATGTGACGGACGGGCCCCAAGCAGTTTTGTGCCAAGACATAGGGATGCCCAGGACCTGACAAGTGATGGTGAGGATGCCAATCCAAATCGGTGAAGTGGCTGCCTCAAGTAGAACAAGCAAATCATCAACGTATTGAAACAACGCATGACGCACATGTAATAGATGATGAAATGTTCGTACCATCAATCCAGCCACTCGAGACCAAAAATTTCCGCTTGCACGAGCTCCAAAATTCAGTGTAAGGCTTTTGAATAAGACATCCTGGTACCGAAAGCAGAGTAAACCCTGGTCAGCTGGAGCAATCTTAATACGGCGATGCGCTTTTGACACATCCAAAGTGAAGGCAGTGAGCTCCAATGCTGAGCCAGTCAAGGGAGCCACCTGCAACACATCCGAAATCTTGGGCAGCAACATTCTGTTGGGGATGGAGGTGTTCTGTGTAACACCAGAAACCGTAGAGTCCACGACAAGTCGCGGGGCCCTGTTGTCGGCGCAGACCAAGCCCAGCTTACCCACAGCTGTATGCTCGTGGTCCAGTTGTAGCTGAGCAAGACCCCCAGGGACCCTTTCAATGAAACCAGCATCAATCTCCTCTTGAAGAAGCTGCCAAACGACATCCGGTTGATCCAAAAGCGCTCTTCCAAGATGATTCGCACTGTATCAAGTCTTGGTCATCAGAGATGGTAGATGGTTGCAAAGGCCACAATGGCGAAGCAGGGATTTCGTTATGCACTCCCACCAGTATGCAACTCATCCAGAAAAGGCAAATCCGGGTCCCCCATCTCCCGCAAAAGCAACTTCCAAAGCCCCAAACGAAAAGGTTGGCCTGGGGCGACTTGTAAAGCTGAAGCACATGTTGAATCAGGCAAGTCCAAAAATTCACGCACATCATCCAGGGAAAACTTGCAACTGGTTCTCAGACAGGGGCGGCTCTTTGGATCCTGTCGCAAAATGCGCAAGCACATGTTTATGCAGGCCAGTTTGAAGAAGACGGGAAGTCCAACGTTTTCGCAAACCACACAAAACGTCGGGAGCTTGGGGGGCGTGCCATACTGCAGTGCTAATCGGGCCACCGCCATCTTCAACTCTGTTGTGTTGTGGTTACGCTGGAAATTCCGATGGCAAGCAAGACGGCCATGCATCCAGTGCGAGCAAGGTAGCACGCTTGGACAAAAAAGGTGTAAACACCCGAGCCAAAGCTTCGGCCAACTGTTGAGGATAACATGCCGTCAGCCTACTATAGAAAGTACCATCGGGAAGTCGCAGGCCAGCAAAGTTCAAATGGGTATGAGGAGGATGGTCACAGCCCAAGCCAATCGCCAAAATGTCAGGTCGATTTGAACAAAAAAGCCATGACTTTTGCCAATCCGCTCCAAAACGGCAAGCCGCAGCCGCTGCAAGGTAAGGGGCTATGGCCCGAACCCAAGCACTCATCAAGGAATCAAGCCAGGTCATGCTTGTTAAAGGATTCTCAACCACCACAATGCCACCCTTTGCTGCAACCAATGTCAGAATATGCCGTGCCCGATCGTGCACTGCTGCTGATTCCTGGACATCAAGGT